TGTCCACGTGCATCAGCATAGGGACAACCGGCACCATGCCCACTTCTCCGAGCATCTGGTGCAAGCCAATGAGCTCGCGCGCAACCTCCGACGCCGCGACGAACTCGGCCTCCATCGTCGAGAGGCTCACTCCGCCCTGTTTCTTCGCGGTCCATGACACCGCCATCCCATTTAGGAGCACGACGCTTCCAGTTAGTGACTTCCGGTCCGCTTTGTCAGCCTCGAAGTCGGCATCGATATAGTCTTCGAGATGCAGCGCGTCTCGGCTCGTTCGCGCTGGCGCCATCTCGAGCTTGAGCATCGCTGTACCCTTTAGGTACCGGGCAACGCGCTTGGCGAGCTTCCAGTTGAGTACCCGCGGCGCATTTGTCTGCCTAGTCGCTTTATGCACTGCAAAGGCAATGTCAGGCCTTGAACACCGCGCGACCCACAGCAGACTCCCGACGAGGGACTGAAACGCGTTGATGGTTTCACCACCGCTTGTGCTCGTCATTTTAAGAAGCGCGTCGTCGTCGCCTACGACCTCGTAGCAGTCATCTCCAATCGGCGTCTTCGTCGGATTCGCATCGCTCATCCCATGCAACCCAGTAGCTCCTTGATGGCCTCCTCCTGGTCGATGCGGTACGCGCCGTCGCTTCCAAGTTCCACTCGCATTCCCAGGAACTTGTGGACATGGTCGAGATCCTTGATTGACAGCGACGCCAGGCTCGCGAAGAAGCTCCCGACTGCCGCGACGCTCGTTCCCGTCGCCAGCAAATCATCGACGTAGACGCCAATAACGACCAGCTCTTCGCCGTCGCGCTTGTGGTACAGACACATGTCTGACACGCAGCGCACGTACCCCGCATCGCTGAGTCTCGCATGGAGCAGCTGGCTCCAGAGGCGCCCGGCTTGTTTCAGCCCGTAAAGGCTTCTCCTCAGCTCCAAGACGACCTCGCCTGGATGTGTAGCACAAACCTTGCGCAATGTGCTCCCTGACACATTCATATCGAGTGGCACCTGCAAGCAGATGTCGAGGTGTGCTTCCTTCTCGGCACGCACGTACGCGTTCGGGATGTCTCCGTGCTTGGCCGGCACGCCCCAGGTTGCTGCGAGCGCCAGCACTATCTTTGCCGTCGAGATGTCCATCACGGCGGCAAAGGTCAGATTGTAATCGACGCCGAGCACTTGCTCATTTCCACACGCGACAAGCCTCGCCTTATATCGCTCGAGCTATCCATCGGCGCCTGTCTTAGTCTTAAAGACCCACTTGGAGTGAAGAGCGTTCACGCCCGGGCTACGCTTCGTCACGCGCCACACATCGTTACTCTCCAGAGCGGCGATCTCTTCTTGCATCGCCGTCTGCCACTCCGCGCGCTTCGAGCTCCGCATGGCCTCGCCATAATTGCGTGGGTCGAGCTCGAAGGCTGCGTTTACCACTTCGTCGCTCGCAGATCGCTCCTTCTGGCGCGCAGCTGCTTGCTTGCGCTTTGATGCGCTGCGCGTCACGTGCGCTTGTCGTGACCACGGCTTCTTACTCTTCTCGTGAGCACCGCGATCATCTCGCGCTCGTATATTGTCATCGCGGGTCGCCACTACAGCCTCTTCATCGGCTCGATCGCCTACTTCCATTGTGCGCTGCTGTTGCGCGTTCTGCGCATCGGCGAGCGTATAGATATTCTTCACGTGTTGTGTGACAACCACCTTGTTCTCTCGCTGGAGAAGGACCTTGTACCCCTTTGTCTCCTCTCTGACGCCCACGATGATGCCAGTCTGAGAACGCCGCTGTAGCGAGCTCTTGCGCGGGTCGCGGTAGACGCTGCACGACGACCCAAAGACGACGATGCTGCGCATATCCGGCGACTTACCCGTCAGCACCTCGATAGGCGACGCTCTCTTTGCATTCGCTCGCGTCGGACTGCGGTTCAATATGTGGACGGCGTACTGCACCGCGTCGCCCCAGAACTGCAACGGTAGCGCGCTCGCAAACATCATGCTTCGTGCGAGGTTTAGCACCGTGCGGTGCATCCTCTCCGCTTTGCCGTTCGATGCCTGGTTGCGAGCTTTCGACACTTGGCGTGCGACACCCGTGCGCTTGCAGAACAAGTCGACGTTTGCATACTCGCCTCCTCCGTCCGTCCGCAGAACGTGGACCTTGAAGCCGAAGAGCTTTTCAAAGTGGACGAGGAACGCTTCAAACTGCTTCGCAGCCGCGTCCTTCTGCGCGCAAGGAACACTCGGCAATAATTCGATTTATGGTCGATAAAGTTGACCATATATCGATTGCCAAGGCGATCCTGCGGCGTCATGGGACCTTTGAGGTCCGAGAAGATGACGCCGCCGATCCTGTCGATTGGCGAGTTGGTGCCGCTGTCTTGCTGTGACTGCGCGTTGCGCGTCTGTTTGCCCTCGAGGCATGATACGCATGCCATGCGCTTGTTGCTGGTCAATCGAATACCCGATGACGGATCGCGCTCCATACGCTCGATCGTATCGAACGCGAGGTGGCCAAGTCTCTGGTGCCAGTGAAGCAGCGAGGCTTCGTGCATATCGTCAGCATCACCATCCATCGCGGGCGCTTCGAGCGCAGCCATGATCGCATCTCCAGCGTTTTGCCTCCCGCGTATCGCTGTCGTCTTAACGTATAATACGTTACTGTCGATCGCTACGTCGAACACGACTGTACCGTCGCTGAGCCGCGCTAGCGCTCGTTTGTTGCCGTCGTAAACGAGGGCAAACCCTTTGCTCTCCAGCTTCCCGTACGAGACGATGTTCTTCGCCAGACGTGGGGCGAGATAGACTTCTGTCAGAGTCGCAGTCATCTTCACACCGCGCGCGAGGACCTCAAGACGCACACTCCCGACACGCGTCAGCCGCATCGACTCCCCATCTGCCATGACGATCTCGTAGACGCAGGCAGTCGATTCGATCAGCAGCGAATAATCGTTCACGAGGTGCCTGCTCGCGCCACTGTCAAGTATCCAGTCGCCTCGATCGATGCCAATCGCATCGTTTGCAGCTAGCACGAATCCGCCTGCGAAATTCACAAATCGCACTTTATTCGCACAAACCGCTTTGCCTCGCGATTTCTTTTTCTTCTTGCTTTTGGCTTCTTTCTTGCGAGCCGCTGACCCTTTCTCCGTGAGCGCAAGCACCATATCGCCGCTGCCACTCGTGTTTCTCGTCTCATCATCAAACACAACTCTTGCCTTGCATTCTGGAACAACATGCCCCGTCCTGCCGCATCGGAAACACGTTCGCGTGTCTTGACGCTTCGTCTCGACATGCGCCGCGACGACCTCGCGACCAACCGCGCCACTGCCGAGCTCGATAGACTGCGCAGAGTGCGCCGACTCCTCAGCGTGGCGCAGGTAGTCGGAACGCGTCGGATCGTACTTAGCGCGCATGACATTCATCAGGTCTGGCTACGTGTGATGGACGATGTTGTCGAGCACAAGCGAGTCGGCGCCACCGCGCGCATCGCTGACAGCCACCATGTAAAGAAAGTGCTCAGCCCAGGTGCGTCGCGCTTCTTTCCTTGCCATAAATAGCTTCATGGCCTGGCTCGCCGTGATGGTCGTCTTGAACGTCAGGTGCAGCTGCTCCATGACGTGCTCGAGTCTTGGCTGCTGCACCCACCAAGTACCGACCTGTTTGTGGTAGTAGCGCTCCGCCGTACCAGCCAAGAAATGCCCGAGTAGGTCCACCTTCACGTCCTCCGTCCAGGAGAAACCGCAAGACGCCTCAGCGAGGCTCACAGCGCGCATGAAGGTGCGTCCCCAGTCAAATAAACCGCTCCCGAGCCCTTTGTAGAGCTTTGTCCCATCGAACTTGCGAATGTTGAGCTTTCTCTGACTAGCGCTCGGCATCCCGAAGTTTCCGATCGCTTCTGCCGTGTGTGTCGCAGGTGGCATCGCTTCTTGACGCGGCGCGACCATGGGCTCGGCCGATCGTTCCGGTATGCGATGCTGAGCTGACGGCTGCCCACGCGGCGGCGCAAGAGAGGCGAACATCGACTCGCCGTTATCTGGCCGGCGCTCGCGCGTGCGAGGTGCTGCTGGTTTTTTCTCCAGCGACCCAAGCGCGTCGATGGTCATGGGGCGTCCACGCATGTTCGCTCCAAGCTTGGATGCAAACATGCCGCTCTTGACAGCTCCAAACATCCTCTCATCTTCGTCCCGGACGCGCTGCGAAGACTCGAGCTTCGACAGGCGGTCGGTCACTGCGGCGAGGGCCGCGAGAATCTTGTCGTCGGTTGCCTCGCTCCTTTCGCGAGCGGGCGGTACTTCGACGACTCCCGGCGTGTTCACCGACGAGGGCACACGCGCTGGCGGGACACGCCCTGGCGCAGCTCGCGCGACACCTCCTGGTGTCTTGGGGGTCGCTTCAGTTTCTCTAGCCATTGGGCTCAAAACCTGTGGGAAGTAGAATGCGCAGTAGAAAGACGATTGGATTCTGTGTTCCTTCTTACCAAATTCTCTTGTCTGCCTCCTAGCCACTCGTTCTCAACGACAGATGGTTGCTGACCAACCTGTCTACTACCATCTTGTTCTGACTACCCCTGACTAGATTGACGGCTGGCGCTAATCGAAACCACGAACTTCGACCTCAACTTCCAACAGTCACCCTATCACAACCTACCCCCCCCCCCCTCTCTCTCTCTCTCTCTCTTTTCTGTCCCACTACCGTATCTCTATCGTTGCTCCCCACCTACTGCTTCAAGTGACATCCTCTCTCCCCCCCCACAAAAAATCAAAAAAAGGGGGGGAATTACCGCACCCGCTCGTTTCTATCCCCCGCCCCCTCCCGTAAAAAAAAGCGTTTCTAACGCGCCCGTCCACCCATCCCGTCCACAACGGCCGTCATGTCGCCGCCGTCTCCTGCCCCCCGTGCGCGTGTACATTGGCGGCTTACCCGCCGACGTCACGTCCCAAGAGCTCAACGACCGCTTCGGGCGCTTCGTGCGCAGCGCCACAGACTGTCGCGTGACGCACGTGGAGCGCCCGCAGCTGAAACAGCCAATGGGCCGTCCGACCGACGGCACCGCTTCTGGTCGCGGCTTTGCGTACGTAACGCTCGAAGGCGCCGACGCCGCGGCGCAAAGTGCGGCGCTGCAGCAGACATTCCACCGGACAAAGTGGCGCGGCGCGACGTTACAGGTACAAGCGGCGCGTTTGGACTTTCGCGAGAGACTCGAGCGCGAGTGGGCCGCGCAGACGCGTGCGAGCGCCCAACAGCGGGAACGACTGCAGCAGTGGAAGTGTCATCGGGACGCGGCGGACGTGCGGCCGCTGAAGGTGGCGGTCGCGTTTCAAGGACGAAGAACGACAGAGTTTGCGGACGTGGACGGAGGTGTGGAGCTGCAGGACGTGGGAACGAGTGGGGAGGAGACAGCAGCTGTTGAGACGGACTCGGAGACTGTTGTCGAGGAGAAGGACGAAGCAGCAGATGAAGACAGTGACGATGGGAGCAGTGATGAGGGGAGCAGTGGCGAGGGGGGCAGTGGCGATGTGGGTCTGAGAGAGGACGACGTGGAGGCGTTTATGCAGCAGTACCTCGCAGCCGAAGCAGCTGCAGGAGTGGAGATGGCGACAAAGCAGCCGCAAAAGGAGCTGAGTCGCGAGGCGATGAATGCGCGACGGCTGGCAGCGCTGGATGCCAAGCAGAAGCGGAAGAAGGAGTCGATGGCGATGCCTGCGATTGGCGCGGCGCTGGGGAACAAGAAGATTACGTTTGACGATAGTGGCAGTGAGCAAGCGCTGAAAGCGGATGAGGCTGAGGACGGGGCGGGCGTGACGTTGAACTGGATGGACTCGAGCGACGATGAAGCGGGCGGAGATGAGTCGGAGTGGAAGACGCTCGACTTCGTGGACGGTCGTGATAGTGGTGGGGCTACTGCTGGGGGCGATGCGGAAGCGCAGGCTTCGTTTGCTTTGCGACCCGAGTTTGTCGGGGAAACCGGTCGGAAGCTGTTTGAGATGCAAAAGCGCTTTGGCGGTGACGCGCGGTTTCGTCTGGACGCGCGGTTCCTGGAAGAAGAGGTCAACGAGTATGGCGGCAATGACGTCGAAGGGGATGAGGACGACGAGGGACTCGAAGAGCAGGCGGTTGCTGAGCTGCAGAGGTTCCGAGAGGACGACGACTCGGAGGTGGCGGCTCGCCACGCTCGTGAAATGCGTGAAGAACAGGAGGCCGCTTTGCGAGTAGTGGCCAAGCTGTACCCTGACGTTGACGTGACGCGCTTGCAGCGACGAATGCAGGAGCGGCGTGTGCCCAAAGACCGTCTGAAAGAAGCCGCTTGGATGGGCGAACTAAAGCGGTACGATCCGCGCGACGTTCACGCGTGCCGCGAGTTTGAGATCCCGATGGCAGTTGCTGCATCTGGACCTCACGAGGCGACGGCTGCACCTCAACGGTCGAAAGAGCTCCCGAAGGGCGGTGATCGCTTCTTCTCGACTGCCGGTGACCTGAGCAACATTTTCTCGCGCGTTCGTAAGAACTCGGAGGATGGCGAAGAAGGCGAAGCAGCACTGGATGGTGTCCTTGGCCTCGGCCAAACTGCTGCTAGTGGAAGTGACGCGCCGTTCAAGCTCAGCTCTTTGTTTTCGTTCCCGGCTGGAACGGACAAACCGCTGGCTGCAATGGGCGAGCAGCTTCTCGAAGACGAGCAGGAGGAGGAGGCAGCAACATCGACAGGTACACACGACTCGGCTTTCTTGCAAGGGTTCCACCCGACCGATACGGTTTACCACGAAGACGACGTTATGGCCACAGACAGCGAAGCGGGTGATGATGCGGACGACGTGGAGCAGCCGCAGACTGCATTGTCGAAAACGACGCGTGCAACAAAGAGCCTCGACGACTTTTTAGCGTTTGGCAGGACGTTCGTGGGTGGCGGTGACATAGGCGACTGGCCCGAGCGTCGGAAGAAGCTCACGCTCGATTACAGGCGAAAGCGGCGCGATGCTGTCAAGATGAAGAAGCGTCAAGTCAAAGCACAGGGTAAGGCGACCAAGACAAAGTCAGAGGCAAAGCTCACTGAGACAGCAACAGCGTCGAAATGGAAGAAAGCCAGGGTCTAAGTTGGAATAAATAGGGGTGAAGCATTTGCTGTACCTGCATCTCCCTGCTTCCTGTATTGTGTCTATACATGTTACCTTACATGTGCTCCGGCAATCGGCCTCCCCTGAACATGTTCTCCGCGCCCCATGTCCCTTCCCGATGGTGCCGGTGACTTGCCGCGCCGATTGCTACTGCCTGGACTTCCATACGGCCGGCGCAGTGGCGACTGGTGCTGCGGCGCCAACTCGGGGGTCCCCGAAGATACGTGCCCCGCGGATCCATTCGCCATCGTCGCTGGGGTCGTCGAGCTCTCTCGTGGCTCTACCCCAGGCGTACTTGCAGCAGGTCCATAGTACGGCTGCTGATGCACTATCATGGAGCCGTGATGATACGCTGTCGCTGCAGCGGCTTGCTGGTGCAATTGCTGGTGCTGAACGAGCAGAGCGTTCGCAGCGCCGACGTCCAGTGACGGCAACAACGATTCCCAACGGCGCTCTTCGTCCTCGTCACTATCCACTAGCGAAACTGAAGACGCCCGCGGTTGTGACGACGGAGCGCTGTTCTTCGTCGACGCCGAGCTAGACGTCGATGCAGCCTTGCCATGCCATATCTGCCGTGGATGGATCAGCAGGTCGGGTCGCCACCCGTCGCCTCGACCATAGAGCTGCCAACATCGCGCGAAAAATGTCGTGCCCACATCGTTTCGTGTCCCCTCAGCATCGTCAACATCGCGCGATGATCGAGGTGAAAGCATCGCTGCGAGCTGATCCCGTGCGAGCCGAAAGGCACGCTTTATGACAGGAAAGCCCTCCGCCGAGACGCTGCGTGCCAGATTATTCTTCTCATCTAGCGGGTCCACGATGTTGCATGCACGGATGGGGAACAATCCTGCCGGACCGCCCTTGCTGCTCTTCAGCGCTGCATCAAATGCTCCAAACTGATTTGCCAGCGCGTCGCAAAGCGCTTCGACATCTTCAACATCCAGCATGGCGGAGCTCGGTTTCGACTTGAATCGAAGGGCTCCATTCAATGGCGTCGTCGCCAGACGGCTAAGGGGAACTGCGCCATGCAGCGTGAGAGCCGACTCGTGCCACGGAAACTCCGCCAGCCGATCCAGAAAAAGATACAGCGCTTGTAGTGGATGGGTGAGAGCATCGCCGTGCTGGTTAAAAAGCGCCATCACAATCGTGTTCACAGCGTACGTCGAGAGCGCACCGTGGCTCGCTCCCATCACGCTTGACGGTATAATTCCTGAGACCACGGACGACCCAAGTCCGCATATTTCCGACGAAGCTGCTTGCATAAAAGAGCCAGACTCGTACGTACACCAGGCCTTGATGAGGATGACGCTCTTCTTGAACAAGTGCTGCCGTCCTACACGGACCGCCATCGCATCCAGCAGCCGCACGGCACCTAAAGCTCCCACGCGGTTTGCCGTAAAGTCCACTGAAATGTTGTCAACTGTACATTTGACGACTCGAACGTCAGCATTCACAAAGGTCACATTGCGCACTGTGTTCGTCAGCAGTACTGGACCGCTACCGCTTCCGACAACACCGCTGCCAAATCGAGATGGCGAGCTACTGCTGCTTCCATCAATGACACCTCCCGCGTTACCGATATCCAACACCGTTCCGACCCCACCACTACTTCCAGCAACACACAATGCCTGCGTGACAATGTAGTACCACGAAGATTCCAGCTCTCGCGGCACTAGCAAGCAAATATCCAGGTCCGACCCTGGAAGATACGTCTTCATCGGAAAGGACCCGGTAGCGAAGAAGAGCGGCGCTGGTGCCAGCGGAAAATGTGCCGTTATGACATGCTGCACGAACGAGAGGACCTGCTGTCGGATGCGGTCTGCAGCATCGCTAGGACCCATCCACTTAATGAGGGCTTCGGCCTGACGCGCTACTACACCCTGCACGGGAAACTGAGCTCGCAAGCGGGAAGCTCGGTGGGCAAGAGATGCGGCTTCAGTATTTACGTGAGACACTGTGCTCCGTGGCTCTTCTTGGGGAGTGTCAGCCCTCTCAACCTGCTCCTGCTCCTTTTGCGCCAACAGACTCTTCAACCGTGCGATCTCAGCATCCTTTTCTTTGAGTAGCTTCTGCTGAGCTCGCAGCTGCTGCTGGTGTTGTTCAGCAGCTTGCAATGCCTGACCATACGCAATGGGTCGTATCACGAGCGACGGTGACTCACTAGAGCTACCATTCGATAGAGACGGAGTCGGTAGCACTGTGTGTAAATGCTTTCGCCCGCGCTCAGTCATTGGCAGTGGACTCGAAGTCGGTGCTGAGCTGGGCAACGGTTCACGTGACCGTTGCGCTTCTACTGCTATGTCGGCCAGAACGTTGTGGGCACGCTGGATGTCATCCTGTAGAGCGTCGCTCATTTGCTTTCGCTCAGCGCGTGCCAATGCATCATCAATAGCAACCTTGTCGCGCTCGGTGGATGCATACTGTAGACTTGCACGCAGCTTCTTCAACTGCTTCTCGCGCTTTCTCAAGTACTTTTCATCCACAAGAACTGCTTTTGCCTTGCCCTGGCTGTCCTTCCCATCGTCGCTACTGCCAGAAGCCTCGTTGACTGCTTCGTCGTCAGCAAGAGAGGGCGTCGGATCCACACTACTATCCGTAACGTTGTTGTCGTTCGCCAGTGTCATTTCTTGGTATTCATCTTTCGCAACATCGATTCCCATAATCTCAACGCCAGTCTCCTCCTCGTTATCATCAGCAACACCACGAGACTGTGCTCGAACTTGAACCGGATCCGATCCGTCTTCTAACGGCTCACCGGCTTCTTCGTCCCACATGCTGTCCCATGCTTCGTCTCGTGTCATGACGCTTGTCACGAAGGCCGTGGGTGACATAGAAGCAGCTCTAGCTTTGTTTTGCTCGTGCTGCTTCGTTTTCATTTGCGAACTTTGACTGTCCAGTTCCGGCAAACATGCCTTGGCAGTTTTGTCATGCAAGACTTCCCCTTTGGACAGCATTGTCGTCGTCGTCGTCGTCGTCGCTGATCCTGCATCCTGTCGGCAAACTGGTTCGTCGTCCGTCAATGTCTCAGCGAGACCACTCTTGCTCTCGTGTTCCTGTTCTGGTACAATGCCACGAACACACTTCTCCTTCTCCTCTATCGCTCTTGTGTCGCTTGAGATCGACTCGGTGGAATCTAGCTTTCGTCCCAGCTCTTCGTGTTCTACTTCCTGCTCTATCCCCTGTTCTTGCTGCTGCAGTAGCTCCTCGTCATCCTCGAGCAAGACATAGCCGGCAGGAGGCTTCCAACTTGCATTAGCGGCAACGGCGTTACCGCTGTTTGCTTTCCTCTTTTTCTTCTTTTTCTTCCTTCTGCTTTTCCCAGACGTTGCATGACCGTTTCCATTGGCGACCCCAGCACTAACAACGTCGTCGGCATTTTCTTCTAGCCACACCAGAGCCTCACGTTGTTTCCGTTCGCCAAATGCAACCTTACGCTCACGGGTCTCCTGCAACTCCAACTGCGCTTCCATGTTGTTAGCAAACGACTTCAGAATCGTTTGGTAGTCGTCCTCTGCTGCATCAAACTGCTCATCAGCCAATCGTAACCGGGCACGACAAAGCAGGGCTTGCGCCGCCACTTCGCTCATGATCCTTCCACTTGCTTCCTCTTTCGCACTCTTTCCTGACTTTCCACCGTAGTTGCCAAGGTTCAACGTCCCACCAGACGCGAGCTCCATTGTGATTTTACCACTCGGCACGGCATGTCCGATCCCAGGTTCGTCAAAGTGCGCGTAAATGATCGACGAATAGTCCATCTCTGCTTCTTTCGTAGCGCCCAATTCCTCATACAGCTGAGCTCGGAGCATCAGTCCGTTGATGAAAAACCCGTTCATACGAAGAACGACCGTAACTTCCTCGACAGCCTTTTTCAAGTCTCCCCGCTGCCGAAACAGCGTTGCGCGAGCCATCAGTACCTGAAAGTCGTGAGGCTCGAGCTCCAGAGCCCGCTGGAAATCTGTCAGGGCATCTTCGTACCGTCCAAGATGCACCAGACACTCACCGTGCAATCGCCATGTCTCGACGTCTCTCGAATCAAGCTCCAGTGCCCTGGAATAGTCACGCAACGCGCGTTTCTCGAGCCGTCGCGACTCCATGCCGCTATACGGTTCGGGCTTCAGCGCAACAGACGAAGCATACGCTCCTGCAGTCTTGCCACTCTTTCGCGACCCTGGCCTGGCTTGGCCTTGTTCCACCGCTGCTACTTCAGCGTCCTTTCGTTCGCGCGCATGTTCTTCCACCGCCATTCGCTGCTGCAACTTGGCTCGCTCCAGCAGCACGTTCAGCACTCTCGCTCTTGGTTCAGCGTCCATGACTGATGGCGAGACGAACCCAGCCAGGCCACCGACGCCGCCCGAGGCGTCAAAATGTCGCCCCTCCTCCGCTTCTTTTTGCAGCTCGAGGAACCGGTCAAAGTCCTGCAGCGCCAAGAGCTCCTGATGGCACTGCAGGTACAAGTGCGCGCGCTCGTAAAACAGCTCGTGGTCGCGATGTCCGCCGGCAGCGTTCTCGGCACGACTCAGGTCGTCCAGAGCGTGGGTGATGTTGTTCATGGCCTTGTACACTCGGGCTCGGGCCATGTACAAGCCTCGCAGTTGCACCAAACTGGCACTGCTGGACGCGAGCGTGCCACTGGCACCCGCGAGGCTGCCGCGGTCGTGAAGTAACCCTTGAGTAGCAGCCAGATTGATCGCTTCGTTGTAGTCCAACAGCGCCGCGTGGTGTTCACCCAGCGCACTGTACGCTTTCCCGCGTTTTGCGTACAGCTCGGCACTCTTGGGCGTCATGTGCATGACCTTCGACAGGTCCTCGATCGCAGCCTTGTACTTGTGCGACGCCAAGTAGCACAGACCCCGTTGGTGGTACACTTTGACGCTACTACTGCACGCTTGCGCTCGATCGGGGGCTAGGGCTGCGGGCAATAGGTCTAGGGCTTCAGTGAAATACGGGATCGCAGCGCCGTACTGTTTCTTCTCCATCAGTGACATCCCTCGCTCGACGGACCACTCCACCGTGCCCCGCGCCCGCCGCGACTGGGCCACGTCGCTCGACGACGACGCATTGCTAAGGTGCTGTAGCGACCGGTACTTGTCAATGCCCGAGCGCAAAAGCCGCGTGTCGTCCGTCGCTGTCGCGCTGCTGTGCGCTGCGTTCATCTTGCGGTTCATCTGCATCTTCATGCGCGTCACGACAGGGATCTGGATCCGCTTGTCGACGTCATCAAACGTCTCGTCTCTTGTCTGCTCGTCGTCCTCGTCGGCCTCGTTGTCCCCGTCTCTCCTCCTGTTCTTTCCTTTCTTCTTCTTGCTTTTCGTATGCAGCGCCGCACCGAACGGCTGCGGCAACTTGTCACTCTTCATGTTCCACCAAACAGTCGTCGCGTTGTGCGGATGAACGTAGCCCTAGTCGCTCTCGTGCGCACGTCCCCGCACCCCCCACTGTTACTTGAACAGTAAACGTGACCCGCGTGCGGAATCGCGAGAGGGGGAAAGCAAAGTAAGTCGCTGCTGCGCGCCTGTTTCTTTTCTTTCCCTCCCGATTGGACGGACGGAGCGCGCGATCGTTGTCGCTGGTTCGTTTCAGCCAATCAAAGACGACGAGCGAGACCAGTATCCACCAATCGACGCGTATCCACGGTCGCGTCCACACAAACTCGCCCTGCGCATCGGGGCATCCCACCGCTTCGCTTGCTCCCAAGAGACCGCAGCCATATGGCGACGCTCGCGCTCACTCGCGCGTTCCGTGCGGCACGTGGGACTGCTGCGCGTCAACCTGCGGCACTTGTCGCCCGTTCGTTTGCGTCCGTCCCTTCTGCCGCGCCGCTGCCTGCGTTTTCCGTCGTGGACCACCACGTGACGTCGGACGCGATGACGCCGAGCGACTACTTTGCCGTCGTGAAACTGGGCGGTACGCAGTACAAAGTGACTGAAGGAGACGTTGTGATTGCCGAGAAGATTAAGGACGCAAAGGTTGGCGAGATCATGGACATGGACGAGGTGCGTCTGAAGTAGCGCTTGCAGTTGTAGCATCAGCGGTGTGTCTGTGGCAGACGCAGCAGCGGAAACTCATGTGACATGTGCCTCGTTTATGTGTACACTATTGACAACACGACAATTGTACCGACAACATCGACGTTGCCGTTGACGTTGCCGTTGACGTTGCCGTTGCCGTTGATGATGATTACGCAGGTGCTGCTCTTGGGCAACGTGAACCAGACGATTGTCGGCAGACCGCTCGTGTGTGGCGCGAAAGTGCGCGTGCGCGTGGAGGAGCAGACGCTGGACGCCAAAATTGACGTGTTTAAGAAGAAGCGTCGAAAGAATTACCGGCGCTGGAACGGGTTCCGTCGCCAGGTGACGGTCTTGCGTGTCACGGAGATCGTGCCGATCAGTGCTTGAAGAAGGAGGCAGAGAGGCGACACAAACAGGCAGATAGGCGGACGGACGGGCAGGTAGGTGGACAAGCAGGACAGTGGTAGAGCGAAAGCGGGACAAGTGGTGGACGGAATGTACGAGCGGACAGGATGTGAGGTTAGACGAAGTGGTCCTACGAGTAGCGCGTTGGGCTGTTGTTTGTTGCCTGTCAAGCGTCGCATGAAAAGTAGCAGCAGCAGCAGCAGGACGGATCGATCCGGCTCGGGTTCACTGCGAACACTTTCGTGCAACAATCGATATTACCGACGAGGTTTTTTGCATCCGGTATCTCGTTCGTCTATGAATTCGTAGAGGTCTTTCGTGGGCAGCTCCCTACTAACTGACCGACTGACTCGCTGTGGGCTCTCTCGTCCATTCATTTGTTTTACGTTTGCCGTGTCACTAGTATTTGCGTGGCAGATTGACGACCGAGAGCAGCATGGCACCCCCCGAGCAGGAGCACGCGCTTGAGCACGAGACCGCGGAGGACCACCACCAGGAGCAGGACGCGGACTCGGATGACGAGATCCCAGCGCTGGAAGAAGCGCCTGACGCCGTTGACGCCGAGAAGGGCAAACACAACCGGTCGGAGAAGAAGTCGCGCAAAGCGATGCTGAAGCTCGGCATGAAACCCGTGGGCGGCATCATCCGCGTGACGATCAAGAAGAACAAGAACATGCTGTTTGTGATCTCCAAGCCCGACGTGTTCAAGAGTCCTTCCAGCGAGTCGTACGTGGTCTTTGGCGAGGCCAAGATCGAGGACCTGAATGCTCAAGCGCAGTCAATGGCCGCGCAACAGTTCAAAGCTCCTGCGGCGGACGCTGCAGCTGCCGATGCTGGCGCTGCGCCTTCGTCTGTCGAGGAAGTGGCTGACGTAGACGATGACGACGTGGACGACTCGGGCATTGACGCCAAGGACATCCAGCTGGTCATGAGCCAAGCTGGGGTCAGCAAGGGCAAGGCCGTGGCTGCTCTGCGCTCGAACGACAATGACATTGTCAATGCTATCATGGAGCTCACGATGTAGGACTATCGTATTATCGCCGTTCAGGTCGGGCGGGGCAAGCACTAGCAATGGAAAATGTGCCTGCGTGGGTCTCTATATGTTGGTGTTTCTCGTCGCAAAGTGCATTTTCAGTGACGAAGATGGGAGATGTGTTGCCACATGTGGCTTGCAGGAGCATAGTAGTTGTACGTGTACATACCTTGGCCGCCGCCGCGTCATTACTACGCATGTAAGGATGAGAACACACTCATTTGCAGCGACAGCAGATCGACCACATTCATCTCAAACTGCAATGTAAAGAGCAAGAGTAAACACCATTAGTGTCGAGTTTTGTGTGTAACTCCACACTTGCACCTTCACTGACTCTCTCTCAAGTTGTAACGCAGGACAACGAACATGTCTGTTGTGGTATGATGTGGGCAACAAGGGAAGAGACGAAGCGCGTACACGCGATACCATCCGTTTTAGTGTTGTAATTCTCGAGTCAAAGAGTCAATCGCCGAACAAAGTCATGTCTGCTTCGCATGTTACGTAATGACTAGACGCTCCCTGTCAGTTGTACTGCAGGCCTTGCGTACTTACACACACACCTGCAAGTACACATGAAGGCCAGTTTGACTTGCACCATGTCGTCGTTGCATGTAGTACACAATGCAAACATTGCTCATCGTTGGAGGATACTGAAGCAGACCATAGGATCGATCGATTCATGTAATGACTCGGAGTCGTGTGATCCTTCGAACATTGCCTTGCGTGATGAACATGGGTAATTGCTGAAACGCAGTGTTGTCAACGCGCTCGTTGCATCTGTCGAAGCAGTGTGGATGCTCGTGCTTTCTATTGAGGTGCAACATGCACGTACCAAATGTAAACACACGCTATTGTGATCTCGTCTACGCGTCGATTGTGTCTGTGTGTACAATTTACCGCAGACAGGCATTCCAGTTGGGATATGACATTATGGGTTGTGTCGAATGGAAGGGCCAGCATTGGTGTTGGACAGAGCAACATGGACTGTATTGCCGTTGTCAGACTCGATACTTTGACGTTGGACGAAGAGAGTGAGTGGGCTACTGCAATATGCAAATGTACATGTGGCGTAACACGAACGCTTGTTTATTCGTAACAGTACTTTGAGATGTATCGGGCAATGGCAGCAGCAGTTGCAGCCTCAAGCTGCTGTGTTCGGTATCAACAGATCCGACGCTAGCTGAGCCAGTGTTTCCATCGTTGAGTAGTCCTTCGTGGAGATATTGTTGTGCGCGACGGCGTCGAGCGCACACAAGTTGCCAATCACTTCGCCACTCAATGCTCTGAGTGGAAACCCGGCGTAGAACTTGACCCCAAAGTCATTGACACATGGCATTTTCGAGAACCGCATGTCCCGCTGAGGATTCTTGACCACCAGTGGTTTCTCCGTGTAGACCGAGTGCATGCAGGGGACCTCGTTGCGTGGAAGCAGGTGAGCTTCTACGGGCAGATTGTAATGGCCGATTGCATGGAACTGCTGGTCATCGATCATCGACACGACTCCAATTGGACAGCCAAGACGCTTGGCTGCTACTTCGGCAATCAGATCCAATGCCGATCGATCGTAGTCTGCATGCAAGGCTCCAGATCTTTTGATCAGCTCGACGCGACGAGCATCTTTCTGTGCTTCAGGCTTCGGTGCCAACGGAATGTCTTCATGCGTGACTTGGCTCGCGTCGTATTCGTACTTGTAGTCCCGAGTGCGGTCGCTCACGTCGCACGAGTCGGCTTTCACTTGGAGCTTGGCTTTCAACAGCGTCTTGTTCAGATGCTCTTCGACACTGTCCAAGACACGCTTCACCTGAGTTATGTTTCGGTTCTTCGCTTGCTGCCGTGGCTTGGTCCTTCTTCGGCTTTCGAGATTGATGGCGTGTGGTGAAGTTGCAGTACTTGCAGACAATCGAGTGCTGGGTTTCCTGCTCAAGAGCTTGCCCAGTGTCTCCAGAGCTCGACTGCGGGCCTCAGCAACTTCCGACGACAATTGCTCCATCAGGTTATTGTCGTCATGCTCTGTCGCCACATTCAGATCGCTGTCGTCGTCCTCCCGGCATGACGAGTTCAGAATCGACCCGTCAATCGGAAACCAGTCTTCGGAAGGAGTATCCACAACAATCGGACCCAAAGCCGGCAGCAGGTCATCGTCGTCAAACTTGCAGGCATCCACTCGAACCACACACAGTCTACAGCACCGATTTTTCCGGATCTCGCCGATGCGCACCTCCACGTCGAACAGATCCGAGCAGTTGTTGCAGACCATGTGGCCACAGAGCTGACAGTAGAAATCTCGACGGAAGAAGCTGAAGGTCTTGTTGCAGATCAGACAGCACCGTTCAAACAACGGGTCGACGTCGGCTTTTGGAAAGTAGACGAAGGACTGGAACCCGAAGCGACGACGACGAATGACGCGGTCAAATCGTTCCAGCGACTCGGTCAACGTCCGCATCACGCTTCGAGCTTCTGGGTTCATGAGCATCGCTCGACGACGCGCCAAGTTTGCTAGACCAGCCGTTTTGCCTGCCTCAGGGTCGTTCGAAACGTGCTTTGAAAACGCTCGAGTGGGTTTGTCCGATGCGTACGCATGTGCGAAGATCCGAGTCCGCTGTCGATTACTTCCGCCAGAGCAAGGGGTGAACTGCAAGTCGAACCCGACGCCAATGTGGTCGATCCCGTTCCGTAGCAGCGACTGTTCCGCGTCAGGCAGTACCTGGTCGTAGACGTCTTTCGGTACCGTTTTCATCAAATGGACAGCATGTTTCTTGTCAGCATTCTGATGCGTGTACGTTGCAAAGACGAGCTGCTGCTGCGTTCGCTTCTGACGAGACTGCAACCGCATGTTCAAGCTGAATCGATGACCCATCGTGGCGGACGTGATGGAGATCGCCGCTTGGTTGGGCGATCCATCAGCTTGTTTCTCAATCGACGAAGGCGTGTGGAGACCCACCCCTTGATGAAAAAGCACTTCGCCCGTCTTGAAGTGCTTTCCACACAGAGCTTTCATGGTCGAGTCATAGCCATCCGAGTCCTCGTGCAGCAAAACACTCAGCGCTTCGTTCAAATGACAACGGAGCTCCGTTTTCGCAACCACTGCATGCAAAATGTCAGCATCGTCATCGGGCTGAGCGAGCGACAAGTACGACTTCATTTCCGACACCTCGACGCCGTTCTTCCCCGAGCTGTGCTTCCATCCTTCACTGCTGGCACTGTGCTTGTGCACGGCCGCCTGAAGCTTTGACATTGTCGTGAGAACGTCGTCGCAAATGTCCGAGTCGGAAAACACGAGTTTCTCGTGCGAATCGCGCGTCGTTTGAACATGGAGCCCGCTCGAGCCACCGCTACTTGACACGACCGATCGACAGCGGTAGGTCTCTCGGTCCAAGTTGTCAAGCGCGATGGCACGTGAGGGGGAAAAGTCCCACGAACACAACTTCTTTCGAAAGTCCATTCTCGGCTGTAGTACACCTTTGGAACGACGAAGAAGACTCGAGGACACACTGCCTGTGGTGGGGTTGTTGTTGTTGTTGTTGTTGGCGCTGGTGGGGTTTGTCGTGCACGTTGAATTGAAAAGTGAAGGACGGCGAGAATGCCGGACGGCTGTCTGGATGCGCTGTCGCAAGTGACGTGCACTGGAGCGCACCGACGCGATGGTGATGACCACATGCTCCTTCCTGCCAGCACACAGTCAACATTTAACGCGAGACGGTGGCACACTTGTTACCGCAAACCCGTCGTAGCGAGCTCGACGCCCAGCCATGTGTGTCGTGTGGCGTCCGGTTCACAGTCGCGCTACATACTTACGATAAGTTTTGCTCGCGACACGCAGTGGTCGGATGTTACTCATTCGCGCAGGCTCAAGTTGGCAGCAAGCCCCCGTCTCTTCGTTTCCCAATGCGTTGAGCTGTTCGAGCTCTTGGCACAGGGACCGCTCAGTCAAGACGCCGACATCCTGTGCGATAGTACATTCGAGCGCTCTGTAGCCCTCGAGAGCACGAAAAACGCATCGGCCGTGAGCTTCAAGTCAAAGCAGACAGTATAAAGGGTACACGTTGAAGCTACAGCATCTCCGTGTGCAACACCGACAAGCTCAGCTCTTCTTCCTCTTCCATCTCTTTTTCTTCGCTTGACAAGTCGCAGCGCAAGTCCCACGCAATGTCGGGGCAAAGGTATCAGCCTACTTTCCAGCGTTGGTATCCCGACGATGGAGCGACGTGTAGACCCCTTTCGGTATACGTCTGCATCTTCTTCCGAAATGGTTCGCACGCCACGAACTTTGTTCAGCTGGTTCCATTGGGATAGCAGCTGGAGATGGACCTCCTGTCAAGCGGATCCGCTGGTGCCTCGAAAGGGATTTTCGTAGACGTTTGTGCCTAGCGAGATTTGGATCACGTGACGGTAGTAACAGTCATGTCGTCGTGTGTTGTATTGTAGTCGCGATATACCGCTCGAGCAGCGGAGGCGTGAGAAGGTGGGAACTTTGCGCTGTTGACGTAAGCACATGCAAACAACAGCCAGACAGCATCGTTCGTGACCACGACCTTCAACGAAGTTTGCAGTGGTCTCCGTGCAGCTCTTTGATAGCACACAACATCGGCAGACTATAGTGTAAGACGTTTGGTCGGTCCGTCGTGACGTCAGGACATGTGCCATCAACAAAAGTAGCGGCTCTCCTGAGCAGCACGTTGCCTGGACGTGCAAAAGCTCTGTAACTAGCGAACTTTACGCATCGGTAAGCATGTGGTGGATGACTCAATGGTAAGGAGGGGGGAAGTGTCCGCTTTATCGACCGTGTCTACGACCAGGTACTGCCTGACGCAGAACAGTCGCTCTTACGGAACGGGATCGACCACATTGGCGTCGGGTTCGACTTGCAGTTCACCCCTTGCTCTGGCGGAAGTAATCGACAGCGGACTCGGATCTTCGCACATGCGTACGCATCGGACAAACCCACTCGAGCGTTTTCAAAGCACGTTTCGAACGACCCTGAGGCAGGTAAAACGGCTGGTCTAGCAAACTTGGCGCGTCGTCGAGCGATGCTCATGAACCCAGAAGCTCGAAGCGTGATGCGGACGTTGACCGAGTCGCTGCAACGATTTGACCGCGTCATTCGTCGTCGTCGCTTCGGGTTCCAGTCCTTCGTCTACTTTCCAAAAGCCGACGTCGACCCGTTGTTTGAACGGTGCTGTCTGATCTGCAACAAGACCTTCAGCTTCTTTCGTCGAGATTTCTACTGCCAGCTCTGTGGCCACATGGTCTGCAACAACTGCTCGGATCTGTTCGACGTGGAGGTGCGCGTCGCTTGTCTTGTCATCGAAGCAGCTAAGGAAGGAGGAAAACCTGTTGCATCGACTGGTAGCACCCACGCCGCTTCGTTCCAACGCTACTTCGTCGTCAAGCGCATTGATCCACATTTACTTGCCGGCAGACGAAAGCTCGTAGTGTCAACGCGAACCATTGCGTGCGAGTCGGTATGCTTGAGGTCTATCGCTGTCAAGTCGAGCACGTAAGCGTTCACGACAGCGCTCGAGTCCCCATCTAGGATTAGACCGTTTGCCTCTAGCTGTCGCAAATTGACTGCAGTGAGAGCAGCCTCGGGCTTTTCCAACGCAAAACGTATCGCTCCTCTTACCCCGTGTGACGATGTGCTTGCCGTAATCACGTACGACGATGCAGTCAACGTAACACAGCACGACTTGTACCGTCCAGCTCCTCAAGAAGTCAATCCTGCCGACGTGGAGATTTCTGTCAACGGAAGATTATCTACACGTACGTGTTCACGCTCGAGACCTTATGACTCGTGCGCCCACAGTCGCCCTCTGAGCCAAATGAATCTACACTGCGTTCCACATGTCAAGCTACGTCAGAAGTAAGCAAAGTATCACATGCAGCAGCGTGCTACCTCTCCAATACGTCAAAGATGGTCTGCATAGTCGAAACGATGGAGTAAACATTGATGAAATAGCCGCATCGAACCGGTGCTGTCAATGTGGGTTGCAATGCGCGGTAGCTCAGCGATGCACACATCCTCCCATGATGGTGTACATACGTGTACTCCCTATCTGCTCGTGATGAGGCGTGCAGTTGGTCAGTACTGCAAACTCGTTCGTTGCGAGTCTCCGAAGCAGTACGCGACAACAACACTCGCGTCACCTGTTTTGACGCTTTTCTTCACTACGATATGAAGGTGAGGCAATGGCACTTCAATCAAAACACTTGCTGGTGAAGCACCGCTGAAAGCTGGAAAGGAGCTCGTGGGGGTGTGCGCTGGCTCGATGGATGACACACACGTGCATGTGGACCCGGACGTTCGTCAAAGTGGCTGGAATGCTCACAGGCGAAGCGGCAGTCATGTCCAAAATGCTGAGCGTACTGGTCCCCCTTACCAAACAACGCCAGACCCACTGTTGCTGACGTCGATAGGTGGTCAAAGGCGAAAGAGGAGATGAACGAACTGCAAAGAGTCTGTATGTGATGCACGCAGTAGCTGTCAGCTGAAACGAGTAGCCAGATGGGTTTACCATACGGCAAGCCAGGGCAAGCAATACAAAGTGAAGTGCACCGTCGTACCGCGTGCCCTCGCTTTCCTCTGATACTCACAAGATCATGGAGGAAGTCCTCCGTTTAGTCTAGCGGGCAGGTATGCTCTGGTGTCTGACTGCGTCTTGCGAGACGTGGATCATTCGAACCAGGGCATGCGAGCAGCTGGCAAAAGAGAGGCGGGCGTCTACGCGGTCAACGATTTCTGGCCCCTATCACGACACCTCTCGCGGATGCGATGCCATGTGGAGAACGACGTGCATTCCAAACGTCTTTACCAAGACGTGGCTCCTGCCAAAAGTGCTCCTTCATACACCATTCGTTTTGCCTCCAATGCAGGGGGCAACGTGGAACCATCACGAGAACAAACATGCACTCGGTAGTCCACCACTTGCAGTTGTTGAACTGCACCTCCTTTTCTCCCTTTCAACTTACGCGAAGAACAGCGCTCGGAGGTCTGATAAGACGCACAATAGCTTTCCGTCTTGACATATCAATCGTAGGAACGTTGTAGGCCCCTCCGTTGGATGTACCTATTGGGGTAAGTTATGTTGTCCTCGAAGTACTTGCGTAAGACATTACTGTTACTCCAAGCAATCCCTTGGCGCTACGTTCTCGTGACACGCGATGTGGACGATAGTGATACATCCATCGCCCCGTACCTTCAGATGTCTTTCGCCTACGGATGTGCTCAGATCATTGCACAAAAGTCACATCCGTGAGCTGAGGCTCAAACTCGAGCGACCTGTCGTTCATTTTTCGAGTAGCGAGCTCATACTGGAGGACTCGACGACCACTGACTGCTCTGCCTATCGATATTCTTTGACAAAGGTGTCAAGAACATTACGTACATTACGGCGGACCGAATCTTTCACGCCGACCACGAACTGTGATAGTTTTCTGTGCATTTCTCGCATACGACGGCGCTCCCCACTTGTGACGGGATGTATGTATACGCGCATCCAGTATACCCAATCTCTGTCGCGTCAACTGCACCAGCGACAATAACATCCTCGCCAGTACTGTGATTTTTCCACGTGCAATATCCCGACAACCGGATCTGTCCACAGAGGATCGAAATAGACGCGCAAAATATAATTGCACCACGTGCAAATACTGCCACTCCAGAAACAACGCGCACTGTTACTTCACACCCAGCCAAAACACGCAACGTCATCTCACCGGTCCTTGTCACCGCACCCAGTTTGTGGTCTCCACACTAACTTAGGACTGCTTGTCAATAACCCACGTGTCTCGACGTGGCATGCAGGTGTCTCTCCTCCTGCTGCTGCTGCTCGCAGCCTGCGCCGCTACCCACGACGTGTTGGACCCACTCTCGACGTCCGATCCGTCTTCTGCAGCCGCTACTGAGCGTCGGGAGCGCTGCGCGACACTCGGATTCGACGTGGAAGCGCTGGACTGCCGCCTCTGCAGCGACTTGTCGACGTTTTTGACCACCTCGACGTCGGCCACGCGCGCGTCGAAAACACGCGTTGTTGACACGGTGTGTCAAGAATGTCAAGAATGCTGCTCGGACTTAACGACTGTGCTCGAGGCGCAAGGCCGACGCTATCGGAACGTGGTGCTGGCGTGGAGTCCGGGACGATGGAGACGGTACCCAAAGGTCGCGCACTTTGTCGAGCACGAAGCGGCAGCGATCAAGCGGCTGGAAGTGCGGGAGGTGGAGACGCGACTGCCGGTGCTGCAGTTTTTTGACGACGTCAGTACAGAGCAGTCGCTCGAAGAGATCAGGTGGGGATACTTGTCAGTGTTGACATTTGGTGGTGCATTGTTGACACCCGGGGGTCGATTTTGACACACTGTGGGGTCTGTCTGTTATTGACATTCATCGACTTACGTTTGACGCATGGTTGCGTGGGTGAACATGTACGTTGTGTGGTGGTGTATTGTTGACAGCATCGCGCATTGGGACGAGAAGTCGATTGCCGAGTTTATTGACAACAAGTTGCTGCCAGAGGAGAAGGAAGAGGAGGCGCAGGAGAAGGAGGTTGTGGTGGAGAGGGAAGTGGATGCCGAGCACGTGTGAGAGGGACGAGGCAGAGAGGCGACAGATGAGAGCCAGAGCAGGAGCTACAAAATGAAGCGCTGTGTGCAGTCATTGATGAGCGATACTTTGTCTTGTAGCCGCCACGTGTGTCTTCTGCGTCTGTGTTAATGCTTCTGGATGTTATAGGTCGGGTCCGGTTCGAGCCAAAAGATGCGGATTGTGGTCGGCACTGCTGCTATTGTGTGCTGCATGGATGACGATAGGTCGATGGCTGTAGTAGAGCTTCTCTTATCTGGTTGTCGAGTCGATGAGAATGACAAACTGCTTCCTGACTGGCTGCAAGCTGTTGTGTTACGCAGTGACGTAGCGACTGTGCAGCTTTTGTCATTTTTAGGTCTTTGCGTGGTGCCGCTGGAACGTGTAGGTACGTCCACGCGGCAATTGGCTTTTTCCGCGTAGCAAGACAAGTGAGCGCAGGCAGAAAGGTACACCTCGATGAAGACGTGCAGTACGTTGAGTTTCTTTGCGAAGATAGTCTTCGGCAAGCAGCAGTTGCCGCAATTGGACGCTTCTTGTTGCCGCCTGCAGCCACGCCACAGGTTCGTCGTGTGCCTTGTTATTGCTATCTGAATACTGACGATTGATTCCAGTCAGCAGCTGAGTGAGCGAACGCTCATGCTTCCTATTCAAGCACGTCCTCCAGTGTACTGAGGTAGGCACCTTGCAACTATATCGCCCTTTACACTGTGATGTCTGCTTTTGCTGCCAAATAGCGATGAACGAGAGCCGAAGTATACGGGATCGTATTTGAGTCCGGGAGTTGCTGATGATAGCTATGATCGCTGCTCTTCTCCAATTCATGTTCGTTGGGCAGTCTGGATCGTGCGTGCAGCTTGCGAGAGCAGAAGCTGCGGGTCCAATGGAAGCAGTGGGTTCAATGAAGGTAGTGGGTCCAATGGAAGCAGCACGAAGGAGCTTTGTGTAGCTGTTGCGTCGCGCTCAATCAATGCCCGCATGGTACGCTTTGCCAGCAATTGCAGTAGGTACTCGATCAAGCGACATGCAGCTGTGTGGAGCGACATTGAGGCTGAAACGATGCCATGGCGCTCGCAACACATGTTTGGCTCGTTGTAGTGGACGTTGCTGTGTATCGCAAAGCTGTGAGCAAGAAGACCGAGAGACTGATCTTGTTCCAGTACCTCAAGGCACTTCATTTGAGCGTGGTGTCAAGACATGATGGAAGAAAGCACTTCGATCACGATGACTAGCGGAACAGGAAACCGCTGCGAAATGGGAAGCTTGCTTCGTAGTGGTGATGGCCACAGTGCATCCAGTGCATAAGGGGTCGGCTCTGGTAGCTGAATAGGCCCGGAGTGTTGACAAAGCATCCGCTAACGATCAATGCAACAGGGGCGTTCTCGATGGCTCGAGTGACAAGTCACTGCAGCTTGTTTGGCTCATATCCAGTTGTCTGCATTCACGAGTGAAGGTGCGACATCTTGAGGAGTGCCCGCGGAGCCTGCAAGGAACGTCGATAAGTGGAACATCTATGTGCAAGAGCTGCAGGTCCGAACCATTAGCAGATCAAAGAGGCCGCGTTCCTACGCCAGCGGGTATCACTTCTTCCTCCTCGATGACAACTGCCAGAGACCGATCACGACCAGGACGAAAGGCTTATACACATGGAAGAATCACTTCGAGCCGCAGTCTAGCACCATTGGTGCTTCACTTGCCGGTAAGCTGCCTTTCAGCTCGCAGTTGGTTGCTCTTGTTGATAAGCAGCAGCGTTGCCGAGATGCAGGGAGAGCGCACACAGTAGGAGTGCCTCTCCCTGCTTCTTGAGCTGACGTGTTGACTGTACATTGCTCTCCACGTCCGCATCTCGGGCGTCTTCGTGCGTTACAAGCTCAAATTTGCTGGACCAACTACATCGTCAAGAAGCTGAAGTGGCTTCGTGGCAGTCGTTCTACTTGCGCTGTGATTACAAAAGGCGGTCTAGCACACACGCTTTGGCCCACCCTCCCGTGACTGTAATGCTGAACTGGCCGTTTCGATCGAGCAAGTATTGCTGTCCCGGAAGCGGAAAGTTGCACTCGATACCGGAAGAAGAGACTTAGGCTCCTTGTTCGCGAAGCTGCTTCTGCTTTGCTTCCAGCGCAATCAACTCGCGGTAGAATCCGCTGTTCGGCTGGGCTTGAGGTCGAGTGCGACGCAATGCACAGAGTGCATCGGAAAGCGTATAGCCGTGACGCGTGATCAAGAACGCGAGAATGATCGTTGCCGACCTGGATCGTCCCATGAAGCAGTGCACGAGCACTTTTCCTCGAAGCGATAGCGCGCTGGAAATACGTGATGCACGACACGAGTCAAGTGACGACCAAGTCGAACGCATCAATGCATCCCATTTCGTACGCGTAGCACGTACCTGTCGATAAAGTCAAAAGCTCTGTCAAAGAAGGCAGAGATAGTGACTGAAGGTCGATCCGCGACTTTCAGCTGCAAGTACGTGAACGTTTCTGGAAATCTTCGCGTGTGTAGTCAGGTACTTTGAGAGACTCCGTTCCAAACGGACGAAACACACGGTCTCGCTTACTTGAGTGGTAGTGACGGTGCTACACAGAGGATGTGGGTGATCTTTGTTTCTGCCAGCGCTTCCAAGTTGGAGGCGGCACCGTACGAACCGATGAAGAGCCCAGAAACAGCAACGACTGCTGCCTGTACCAAGCAACAAGAAAGCGTGGCCACTTACTATCAACAATCACGAAGACGAACAACAGCAACAGCAACAGCAACAACGAGCACAGCAACAGCAACAACTGCAACGAGCCCTCGATTGACTCTTATCGGGTCAGACGTACCGGCACATTGTCACGGCCGTCTTTGAACGGGTTGGCCAGCAGCGCCTCGCGCAGTTTCCGAAACGCTGACACAGTCGTTTCGCTTCTCGTCTCGATTGCGCTCTGCTCCAAAGACGATGCAGGTGTTGTTGGATCGCATTGTCGCATCGACGTCTGGTGTTACGCGGTAGCTCGTTACAGGGAATTGTCGTTTAGGCGAAAATGACAATAAAGAATGTTACGTTGAATATTCTTTCAACAATATCACAAAGCAGGATGATATTGTTGGGACGACCGAAGGGTCTACTCATTGGTTGATATCGTGATGGTATCAACCCACCAATCGCTGCTGGACGCGCGCAATGGGTGGTGAGTAGACGTCATCATGCGTTTAGTTATATGGGCATAATTAAGTCAGTACAAACAGAGACACTAGAGTGATAGGACTTAGTCATATTAATGACGGTTTTACTTTTACCTGTGACTAGAGTCTCATCTTCGTCACCTATCTTCCTCTGCATTAGTGTAGTACTTAGCAGGGCACTGACCGACCTTCACTGTCGTCAGTGGAAGGTTGACTCCGTACTGGTAGTCCAGTACGTAGTCGTCAGTGCCCCCATTGCATCTGGTCGCCAGCTGCAGTGGTAGTCGACGTCTCCATTACGTGCCAAACCGAGGTCGGAAGGGACGCAACTTTAGGATCTTGGGACACAGCGGTCTCTTACTTGACAGCTGGAGTCCGGCGAATTAAGAATCCAGAATCCCAACGGGATCGTCGCCGGCGGCATCAGGGTTCAGGGGCAGGCTCGGGTCCACCTCTCCACACGCCAGAGCTTCATGCAGAGTATTGAAGAGGAGCTATAGACTGCACAATCTGTCAGACAAGGCGTACGCTTGGAGCGGACACTGAAGCGTCTTCGATGTCAGTTTAAACGCGTATCAAATTAAGAACGGGATCAAACTATTTCCGATCTTCAACAGATCAACGCATAACCCTTTCTACCCGGATCCACGATCGCCAACCGTTTTGCGTCGGAATGGAGCCCGATCCTTTGTCGAGCACATCACACCGTCCCCGCGCCAACGATGCGTACCGCCTTGCGCGATTTATTACGCTGCCGGCGGATCGAATACTGTCCACGGAGGATAATGCGTTCTTGATGGGCCAAATCACGCTGGACGATGTGCTCGCGGCTACTGCGTCGCTTAATCGTCATAAAGCTGCCAGATCAGACGGAATTAACAACGACTTCCTCATTTTTGACTTCCAATCGCTACTAGCTCCGGCGCTTGTCAATATCGGCAACGAATTATTGCAAGGACGAACGCCTCCCGCCTCATTCATTTATGGAAGGGTTGATATTACCACTACGCAAGAGGGGTGATTCAAAAGACGCGATGGATTACAGACCGATCGCTTTGTTACAAACCGCTTACAAAGTTGTCGCGAAGGTCATCTCACACAGGGTGCAACGCGTGATTGATGTGCCCATTCGGGACGCGCAACAAGGGTTTGTCCATGACAGACACATGTCTAAGACGGTGATGATACGATGATGTGGCACATTTAAGTTCGGCATTGTCCGAACCGGAGCAAGCAATCAAGGATAGTCGAGTTATCTTGCTTCTGGATTTTCGCAAGGTATATGACACGGTCTCACGAGACTTCTTATTCGAGGTGTTACGTCTCTTTGGTTTTGCTGAATACTTTATCATGGTTATACGACGTCTACCTGACGGCACTACAGTGCAGTCTTGGTAAACGGACTTCTTTCCGACCCTATTCCTGTACTTACGGGGATTTGTCAGGGTTGCCCCTTGGCGCCGCTACTATTTTTACTCGTGGCGGAGGTACTAGCCATTGTAATACTACAAAACACACGCATTAAAGGTCCCCGACATCCTGTATTTCCAGCCGAGGAGCAACAAATTCTCGGCATTTGTTGACGATTCGAAGGTTTTTTGGAGTAGGCGGGACAACTGCCGCAGGTGCTGACCATCGTGCAGCGCTTCGGGGAACTCTCTGGGATGTTTGTTCAACCGACCAAGAGTGTGCTGCTATTTCTTGATACAGCGGTGAATGTCGCAGAGTATAATGGGACTCCTGTCCTCCACCATGGCAATACGACTAGGTATCTTGGGTATCAAGTGGGCACCGGAGACCTCGTTGACGCTAGCTAGGCTTTACGGGTCCGGAATGTGAGGAAGCGGCTAGCCACAGCGACAAGTATTTCAACCAGCGTGGACGTCCGAATTCTGCTACTCAATGCTGTCATGCTTCCCGCCGTACTATTTACTGCGGCGGTATTCAGAATTCCTCAGTGGGCCAAGAAGGAATTGCACAATCTCCAAAAGCAATTTATCTGGCATCATTCCACTCCAACGGCCGACGGCAGGCATAAGGTCAATCCAGGCCTGCTCTATACCCCACGTGGCGCGGGCGGAATCGGCCTTATCTCCCTTGATGTCTCCATCTGCACGCAAAATCTGAAGCACGCTATGCAATGGTTGATCCGCAAGAGCGACCGCTATTATTACGCGTGGGCGACATGGACGTTCCAAGCCACCGAGGACTCTGCCTATCGGAGTCTATCGCCAGTCTTAAGTAACTCTCGGCGCCGCTGTATCACCAATGGACTTCAACCAGGCAAACACGCCGAAGTCATTGCTTAGATCTTACCGGCGACATCCATAAGGCTGACTATCCAGCAGCACCGACATGGCTCCTTCCATCTCCTCGTAGCCAACCTCGTGTCCACTCGTCAAGAGCTTAACTTACTTCTACATATCACGAAGACCTTCTGACGCTCACGTCCATGTACAATCATGAGCACAAGACGTTTTGAGTCAACATATCGGTGGGACCAGAATCCGTGGGTCTTCGATGACAAGGGGCGATCACTTACAACTAAGGTCTATCCGCTGCTACGGGCACGTCGTCTAGAGAAACTATTCATCACGCATGTGTCGCAGCTGGATGAAACGATACTTCTTCCATGTACGGGACACAGTAAATCTCACACAATTCCTAAGATAGGGCGCTGGACGACGGCAATCCTAATGGCTTGCCCAGCTCTTCAAGTCGAGGGATCAGTCTGTGTACCGCCGTACCTTACACTACGGGACGGACACAAGGCCCTCATCAGATTTACTTGGACATCTACAAGTTGTGGTGTTGTCAGCGGCTGTTTTCGCTACCCCCGGGAGCAAGAGCATACCTTCTTCACCATCCATCAGGCGCCTAACGGCATTCATTGGGTCATCGGTTATATAAACGGCTTACCAGCGGAAGACGTGCAGGACCTGTACGCCATTTAACAGCAACCACGGAACAGAGCACTCGTGCTGGCAGCGCATCCGCGGCTACATGGGCTTCCTTAGTGCCTAACTTCGACAGTCAACAACATTCACGCATATGAAGCCTTGAAAAGTCAGCCGTTTCGAAGGGCAAAACGGCATTTGTCTTCTGCTCTCTCAGCTGTGATCGTCAGGCTCCAGCACAGATATAACACGCGCAACGGAGGGTACTACCCGTTGTTGCATTCACCGGCGCAGCTCTCGGAGCATCGACAAACACCCACAGAGTATAGAATCTGGATCTGCTACAGGATTGCAACTCATCAAGTAGATTCGTATTATCCGGGGCGAGGGCTAGATGCCACGTGCAAGCGACATATCGCCTGCTGTGGTCAACATGAAGACCTTACCCATATCATTTGGGACTCGCTCGGGAGCGCAATTATGCTGGACCAATATCTTTTCCCAATGGTCGCGATCACTCTTCACCGAAGGTCACCTCCATCTGTTCAAGTTAGCGGCTTTGTACAGATAGGTGTTCGAGCTCCCTACATGAACACGAGCGGACACTACACGCCGTTTCCCCCGACAACGCTGACATTTTCGGCCGCAAATGGAAACAGATCTGGTGGATTGCGTGTTCGGTCTGCGTCACCACGCTCTAGGTTCAGAGGAACCGAAGTGTTCACAACCAGGACAGCATGACGCCGGTACAGGCTGTCGCCGAAGTGCGGTCCATCCTTGCGCAATAATTGCGCGCTGTAGCGATTAGCACACAATGTATGGCGGAAATCGAGCTGTTGGCCCCTTCTTTCAACAGGCAGCGGAATTGTTTATGGATACCGTCGCACATCGGACGTTGCACCTGGACACCCTCTCTTGACTCCCCGGACAACCTACTGATGTCCTAGAGAGGTTAAGGATATTTCAGCAATCTTGTGCGCCGTAATAATTAATAGAGCAGCTGTTTCTCTCTCTCATTATGTGCCAAAAAGAGATTCTGCATCGTCCACGTAGCTCGACTCACCATCGATCGTGATCGAGTGCTCAGTCAGAAACTTGCGACAGCTGCAGAATGTTGAGACAAATCAAAACCGACCGGCTGCCAAGAGCTACTGAAAATCCTTCGATCACGTTGTCGGCATGTGCAGTCGAGATCGAGTTTCGGATGTGCTCACGTTGATTACGGGTCTGCTCTCGATCGACTGCGTAGCTATCACCTATCGGAAGAAAGAGTGACCGCGACATGTACTTCATACGTTGGTAGCTGTTATGCATCATTACAAACTCTGGCAAGACGTCTTTGTAGGAGCTTTCCAACACCTAGTCAAAGGTATGCAGCTTTGCTACATTCGACTTCGTGTACCTCCTCCTCCAATGGTGTGAGTGCTCTTTAATCATTGCCTACCATTCATCTCCATTGAATCGGAGCAAACTGGTATGCAAATCAAATACTAATGTGATACAGCTCTCAATTGTGACAGCAAACCCGTATTTACCGCATTTTTACTCTCTCTCTCGCTCTCAATCAGACGCACGTGCGACTCGCTTTTCAGGATCATGTCACGCTGTTATAGGACGATAAGCGGTTTTGGCGGGACGCATCAAGACTTTCTTGCTCTTGGATTTACCAGTGTCGGTACTTCTTGGTATATAGAGATGCTATGCTTGGGTAGAATCGCACTTTTAATGCATGAGAGATGTACAAACGACGTAGCACTGCTGTCAACGATGTACTCCATACATCATGCATTGCATCGTAGTGTCAAAGGGCAAGCAGTAAGGGAATGGCGTGTTGTAAAAGCTGCAGAGTAAGCGAATGGGACGAACATGTCAGTACCGTGTACCGATAGTACAGTCCGGACATAGCA